GGAAATTCTGTCTTTTTTAAAGACAAACATTTTTGAGGCGAAATACCCAAAAAGAAGTTTGTAAAAAAATGGATCCGCCTCAACAATATAGAACTTATCTACAACCCTAATCAACTTTTCTTAATAGCAGTTTTCGGTATTGCCAAAAATTAAGGTAGTTTATTCTTGGGCGTAATTCACATTTCCTGATAAACCTCGTACTTATACGACCGAAAAAAATACATCTGATGGGAGCGTTTATCAGTTTTTCAAGAAGTGTTTTTTACATGGCTTGATTTCTTGGAACTTCAAACACATTTAAGTGAACGCAAATTTACTGGTGCTTTTCCCAGCTCAAAGTGAGGTGATATAAAAGTGCGTGTCAATGGGATCGAAACACTAAGGCGGTGAATTAAGCAATAGCTTTTAAGCGATAAACATGCTCACGCAAATAAGAGGGCAACGAGGGGCCGGTGGTGTTTTCGAAGGTGATTCATGGGGCGTATGTAAAATGGTAAAGGGGAAAAAGCGACTAGACACGTTTTTTTGATTTGGGGGGTCAAAACCTCGGCCTGTTGTAGTTTCTGTTGTCTAGCATTCGCAACGGGTCATAAAAGCGCTCAAGTGAATAATGGTGCGCATCTTTCGGGATTTGGTACCGAGCTGGGCGGAAGGAGGGTACGAGCTGGGAGTTTGGGAGTACGTCAGTGATTTAGTGAAAAGTTATCAAACAGTGCAGTCGCCCGATCAGCCCTCGGATCAACAACACTGTCCGGACTATCGGAACCACTTGGAGGAGAAACAATATGAAGAGAATGCTGTGTACTATGAGGTTAATATTCCATTCATCTAAGTGGTCTAATAAAGTCCAACTCCTAGTTGTTATGCGGTTTAAGGAGGCGAAGCCCCATGGAGCCGGTTTTCAGCATTACGCCAATGAGTCGATTTGTAAAGCGACGGATCGTCCATCACGTTAACAGGCAGGCGAATCAAATCGGTTCGACAAGTTCGAAAAACAGGAAACCGAACCTGAATCATTTAAAGTTTAAAAACAAAACGCGTCTGTCCTCTCGCAAACTAACCAGTAATTTATTCGGACGGTTGATCTCTGGCCGGAGTCAAGGACAGCTGCTTTGTTGCTTCTGTAGATTCCAAGATCAATCTGTTGCCTAATTGAAGCAGCCACCGATTAATACTGGGCGTTTTTCGAAAATCTACCTCGCAGAAATTCCTTTCAGTAAATTAGACTTAATGCG